TGGCCAGTTCCGGCGGGGGCTGAATCGGGACGCCTGGGGCAGACGAGATGGGGTGCTGCTGGGTTGGTCCAGTAGTGCCGAGGAGCGGTGCTACTGGAGCAACCCAGCAGCACCCCAGCTGCTCTGCCCCAGGCGTCCCCAAGTCAGCCGCTGCTGAAACTGACCAGCGCTCACTACAGGAAACCCGAGGCAGAGTTGCTCTGCCCCGGGCTTCCTGGAATCAGCCACTGATCAGCCACCTGGGGTTCTTAAGCTGAATCTGTATGTAAGTCGGAACTGGCATCCAGATTCAGCCTGTTGAAACTGATCAGCAGCTGATTCCAGGAACCCCGGGGCAGAGCAAAGGCAGAGCAACTCTGCCTCTGGCTTCCTGTAGTCAGCCGCTGGTCAGTTTCAGCAGCGGCTGAATCTGGACGCCAGTTCCGACTTACATACAGATTCAACTTAAAAACAAACCTATCTGCCTGTATATATGGAACTAATGAAATAACAGCAAAACTAGCAAGAAACCTTGTTTGAAGCATATATAACAAGACTTTTGCCTAGCTTATACTGACCAGGCAAGTGTGTTGAAGTAGTTTTGAGTGAACCCAACTGTGGCAGATTTCATGAAACTTCTAACAAACTGTGTATGTGGTAAGAGGGAAACAGGATCCAAAGAACACACAGTTGTATGCCCAAATTCTGGGTTTGAGCTATGGGTTCCACACAGTGGAAATATGATCTATCTGTAATGCATCACACCCACCGTTTTTTGTCTCTGTCTCTCTCCATATACATTTCCTGTGGGATGACAAATGTGACCTCAAGTCGTCTGCATCCACATGCCAGGCCATGCTGTGGCTAGCCTCAGCACCATCTCCTCGGGCTATGGGCTGCTTCAGCTCCCGCTTCATGCCCCAGGGGACTGTGCCTCCGGGGAGGAGCTATTGCTGGGGCTGGGTCCCCTCAGTCATCTGAACCTGGCCCCCCATCTGAGATTTTTCCAACCATGAGTGGAGTGAGTTTTGTTATGTGGACCAATATTGAGGTCATGTGTGATTGTGCAGATGTGTGCCAACATGGCACCTGCCAGTTATTAACAAATCTGCAGTTTTCTGTCTTATCGCTGTAGCAGGAGGATTGCTTTGAGGGGGACCAGTAAAATTGTATTTGGAATAGGTTAACTAGGGATGCTAACTAACTTTTTTTTATGTAAATGTGTAACTACTGGTTGTTTTTTTGTAGTGGTTACACATTTACAGGAGTAGTGGGGAACTGGTGCTCACAGGGAGCCTCCCTCTCTCTCCCCGCACGGGGGGAGTAAGTGGCTTTTTGAGCTCCAATACATGATGGGAGCTGGCTTTAAAGTTGGCTTCCCGCGTGTACTATCTTCTCTTTCCCCCTCTACTCCCCCCCCCCCCCCTGCAGGGGGACAGCTCCACAGACACCGCATGCACAGAGATCTGACTTAAAAGATGGCACCCTGTGCATATTGGCTCCCACCTGCTCCCCTCACCATGCAGGTGGGTCTGTGGGAGCCAATTTAAAAGTTTGCTTCCCATGGGCACTGGCTCCTGATACAGAGGTAGCAAGGGGGAGGGTGCTTGTAGTTGTTAGGATTAATGGATAATTCTGGATTTATTGGTCAATCCTAACTATTACTACATGCTAACATCCCTATTTCCCAGATGCTTTCTATTCTCTACATAAACTAGAGATGTAAGTGACTAGTCAACTATCTGATAAGCATATGCTTATCGGGTAATCAAGTAGTGACTAGTCACTCTCTCCGACCCCTTCTGCCTCTCCATGGAGGAAGCTGTGGAAGGAGAGGTGCAGCAGGGAAACAGCATGACCGGGGATTAAACCTGTCCCCATTTGTGCAGTTGGAAATGTAGCAAGAGCCATGGATGGCTTTTACTACATTTAAAAGGCAGAGGCGCAGCAGCAATAGCGAGCGCTGCACCCCTTATCAACTATTCAATAGAAATTCCATCGACTACTCAATTAGTTGATTAATCAAAATTTAACGTACCTAACGCAAACCTGGGATAATTGTTGTTCCCAAAGAAGTGCTATTCCATAACTTGCTTGCAGACTTGGTTTAATCTGTCCTCTAACCTATATGTTGACCAGTTTAATTTTGAAAATATTCTATATTGATGGATTGTCCAGACTCAGTGTTTTGTTGCTAAACCCAATTGTATGTAAATGGCCAACAGCAGCAGTGTTCCAAGTTTGTGCCTGTTAAAGAGGCAGAAGTTGCTACTGTAGACTAAGCATGTTAAAATACGGATAATCAGCTAATTGAGTAGTAGATGGAATTTCTATTGACTATTCAGTTAGGCAGTGGGGGGACACTCCCTACAGCTGCTGTGGTGTGAGTTGGGTCAGAGCAGTCCTGCTCGTGCCACCCAAGGGGCTAACCCTGCTGTGGCTCTTCCTTTTAAATGTAGTAGAAGTTCTTACTACATTTAAAAGGTAGAGTCACAGCAGGGGACTGGGTGCAAGCCGTGAATCAGCTAGCTGCTGGTGGCTCTTACTTCATTTAAAAAGCAGAGGCACAGTGTCTGGGACTGGGTGCGAGCCAGGAATCAGCTCATTTATGGTTTGCGCCCACTCCCCTGTTGTGTCTCTGCTGCCTCCTGTAGAGATGGTGCTGGGAGGGGTGGGGGAAATCAGCTTTTAAGCCAGCTCCCCCTGCACCAGCTCCTGCCAATTGCTGCCTCTCACTAGTATTGGACTTGACTGCCCGATAAGCCTAGGCTTATTGTGTACTTGATTAGTAGCTTAAACACTTTGCTTAAGTTGCTTATTTTTTATACTTATGCTAGTTAATGGTGAAGGAAGCTATCTAAAGGAGTGATCAATACATGTAATCAGTTGCAGTTCTGTAAGTATGGTGTGATATGAGCTTGATGCTGCAAGTTGTGGATTTGCATGTGTTATCAGATAACATTCTTTTAAGACTTTGAGGAAGACTCTGGACAGTAGAGCCAGTGCAGTGAAGAACAGCAGGGAAAGGGCTAAAGTGAGTTATAACAAGGGACCAGGAGAGATCAGGTCTGTGCCTTTCCCAGGACTCACCTCTTGGCCAGCAGCCCAGCCAATGTGCTGGCTGGCTGGTGAGGCTCCAGTCTGGGACAACAGACCCACTCTTGACAGTGGGGCTTCCTTCCCTCTGCAGATGGCTGGCCTCTGTTCTCCCAGCCAGTGGGTTTCTGTGCCCCACGCTGTTTCAAGCCTGCTGGCCAGGCTATCTGCCCTCAGGCCACTGGCCCTGCAGGCTGCCAGACTAGCTGAGGCTCTTGGGTCTAGCAACATCCATAGTCTTAGTGGACCACGAATGTTATTGGACCAGAGAGTCCCAGACCACAGAGATTAAACCTGCAGTCTCTTTAGCTACACACAACAATCTGGTACAGTCTAACTTCAATCCCTAATTAGGGCCTGCAGGTATTACCATTATAAAAGCAATAAACTTATGTATTTTGGTGATAATTTCATTCTTTGGCTGGCTGCTTTAATTCACCTTAACACCCAGAAAAGCTCTCTCCTCTAGCTCAGGCAAGTTTAAAATGAATCTATAAATTCAATTTATTATAGCACACTAGGGCTATCAATTCCCAACTCCCAAAATATATGTATGTTTCAGTCCATTGTGATTTGCTGATGTGTTGGACACAGGATATTACCCCTTCTACTTTGTCTATTTTAGTCCATGAATACTAAGAGTTCTAGAACTTGTTCCATGTGCTGGCCTTGGTTGCAGTTTTCAAACTCACATGAAACTCAGTTCTAGAAAACCTGTAGGCTAGCAAGGGAAACAAGATGAAAATTCAATGTGAAGGAAGAATTCAGGAAAACAAGTTATCCTCGTACTAATGTCTCTTGTTTCTTGCTGTTGGTTCTCATATGCTATGTTTAAAAATAGATGTCAATGTGGGGCAGTTCTAAAAGATCTGTGAAGTGTTTGTGGGTTGTTGAGTTTACACTGGCCTAGAATCCTGTGTTTGAAATGTGCATGAACTGCAGTATCTGAGTTACAATTATAATCAAAGTAGAGGATTATCCTGAGAATTTAAAATTGTGATGTGGCATGTGTGATAATGCCATTAGGTTTAACTCTGATACTTCCAGGATGTGTTATGACAGTTTCCTGCACGAGTTCATTACAGTTTTTTACTATTTCTTTTTTTTTCTAGGTGGTGATAACTAGGCTAAAACTGGACAAAGATCGCAAAAAGATCTTGGAACGCAAAGCAAAGTCTCGCCAGGTTGGCAAAGAGAAAGGCAAATACAAGGAAGAAACCATTGAAAAGATGCAAGAATAGAACGGTCTCCTGTGTGACACCCATTAAAAGAACTGCTAAAGTAAAACCTATTGTTGTGTATTCTACTTTCGGAAGTGTTGGTACAGTCTGTCTGGATTGGTGTTTGTCTTTGTACACTTTCATATTTTAATAGTGGATGCTCAGAAAAGTGCTATGCTAATTAAAAGGACAGGCTTATTTTCTCATTACACATTGAAAACTCTGAATTGGTTAAACACATTTAATATCTTCTCATCATGTGTGCACATGGTAGTACAAGAGATGTGTGTGACATTTTACAAAGCCAATAAAGACAGACTCTTTACCTAAAGAGTTTACAGTGGGGTGGGCAATAACTTTTAATGGGGGAAGGGGCACGCCAAGATTTTGGCAAGTGGACAAGGGCCGCATTTCTATGGAGGGGGTGTGCAGTAGGGATGTAAGCAACTAATCGACTACTTAACTATCGGATAAGCAAAAGCTTATCAGTTAACACATTAGTCAACTAGTTGCTTTCCCTCCTTGCTGCCTCTATCATAAAGAGGCATCAAGGGGTGGAAGAGGAGGTGCAGTGCTGGAGGGAGCTGGCTTAAAATGGAGGCAGGGGGCGTGCTTTTTTTTTTTTTTTTTTTTTTTTTTTTTTTTTAAATGTACAAGAGCCCCAGGAGGGTCTCTTGTGCTTTTCAAAGAGTGAAACGCTGTGTGGAGCCTGGGGCCAGCAGGGACTCCCCTGCTGACCCTGGGCTCCATGCGGTGTTCCAACTTTAAAATACACAGGAGCCCCTATTGGGGCTCTTACACATTTCAAAGGTGGAATGTGTGCTAGTCCTTAGGACTAGTTGATGGAAATCCCATTGACTGACTGACTAATCGAATAATCAATATTTAACATCCCTAGTATGCAGTCTGGGACAGAAGTTGGGAGCAAAAGGGAACTTCAGACAGGGGACTTGGGTGAAGGAGGGTGCTGTGATCTGGGGAGAGGGAGCATGGGAGATATGGGTGCAGGAGAGGAATTTGGCCTGGGGGGAGGAGTGCTAGGAGGTGCAAGGTCTGGGAGGGAGTTGTGACCTAGGTGAAGGAGGTGCAGAGGGTTTGGGTGGTAACCTGAGGCAGGGGAATGGGGTTCAGGTGAGGATTTTGGCCTGTGGGTGTAGTGTAGGAAGGCTTGGGAAGGAGTTATGACCTGGGAAAAGGGATACAGTGGGTTAAGGTGGTGGCCTGGGGCAGGTAGTCAGAGGGGAGAGAGGGGATGGGGTGCCAGAGGCAGGCTTTGGCTGGGAGGTGCTTACCTACAGAAACCTGAGGCAGACTGCTGGTCTGGGGAAGGAGAGCCACACTGCCCCTGCTCCCAGCAAAAATTCTCAGCTCCTGTTGGCTGGGAACTGAGAGATTGGCCAATCGGAGAAGTGTGAGCTGTTCTCTGTTTAAGGGTTTTAGCGAGGCGGCCGCAGTTGGGATCCGGTGTCTTGGAAGGCTGGATCTGGCCTGCTGGTAGCCTCTTGCCCATCCCTGGTTTACCATCTGAGAAATCAAGAACAGTAGCAAGAGTTGATGTGGGAAAGGGGAGGAGGAAGTTAGAACTGGGGAGAAAGCACATGTGGCTACAAGGAATAGTGCATATATTGGGTTTTTCCCTGCTCTCCATCTCCATAAATGAAACTTTCAGACATATAAACCATGAAGGAACATACGTTATTCAATTTGAAGAGTACATACTTAGGAAAATAAGCTTCAAGGGGTAGCCGAGTTAGTCTGTACAGGATAAACTTAACAAATGGTGTGGTAGCACTTTATAGATGGCATCATAAGCTTTCATGGGCACAGCCCACTTCTTCAGATGACCGGAGTTTTGAATTTAGGATGTGCAGACCCAAATAAATAGAGGAGGAAAGAAAAAAAGGGGGGGGAGAGGAAACAAAGAGCAGAGGATATGAAAATATCAAAGTTTTGAGAGTTTATGTAAGTAAAATTCTGAGAGTTTCAGTAAAAATGTAAAGAAATGACTGAAAGCTGTTGTACACCAGTGAAACAGCTCACTTTTACTGGATGGCACAGTGAGCTTGGACAAAAATTCAGTCCCTGCCTGAAAGATGTACCATCTAAAATATGTGAATCTAGAGGGAAGATTAATTTGGAATGTATTTAATCTTGTATAGCCATGCACTTTTTTCCACTATGCAGAACAATTTGTACATGCATTGAGGCATGTACACCACTAGTAAAGACAAAAAACCTAGCTATGGGCACATTGCTAATCACTTGGGCAGCATCTGAACTTCGAGTGGCCACACAGGCACATCTTAAAGGGAACATTACTGTCAATCATTGTTGGATCAATTGAGGCCTCATCCTAGTCATTATGGGAATATCTGTACTGCTGTTAGTCACCCAAGGCTAGCCCCTGACTGGTTTTGTGTGGCTCTTCATTGCAAGGATACATGAGTCCAAGCTCTGGGGCCTCAACAGGGTCCTAGAACATGAGCCACAGCACAAGCTGGAACATTGCACCACAATTAAGCCCCTTAGTCTGAGCCCAAGCCCGTTACCATGGGCAATGTAGACATAGCTTCGTAGACCTCTTTCTGCAAATACATTTTAGTTTACTAGTGCCAGCCAGGGAGGGCCAGGTTGAGGTGTAACAGCCCTGGCCTGCCCCAGCTCTGGCTGCTGGAGGTCATGGCTGGCAGGGCTCTCTTCCTCCAATTGCTGGGGGAGGAGTTGAGCTGGACAGGCTGACCCAACACTCTCCCCTTCGGCTGCCCCAATGGAGAGCGAGGCAGTTAGGCTGGGCTGAGCTGGCCCTCTCCCTTTGGCAGGAAGGGGGTGTGGTGCCTGGCCCTTTCCCTCTGGCCGTGAGGAGGGAGGCCGTGCAGCTCCAGCCCCCAGCAGCAAGAGGGGAGGCCATGCAGCTCCTGTGCTCTACCGGTGATGCCGCACATGCCCTGTGTGCCTTCCCCCCCCCACCGCTCTAGGGAGGCTGCATGGCTTTTGTTGGGGGACCCCCCCACCATCCCTTACCCAAGCCCACACAGCTTCTGTGTGCCCCCACCTGAGCCTCCATGTAGCTCTGTGGCTCCTATGCACTCCCTCTTCCCCCCACCAGAGACCCCAAGCAGTTGTGTGGCCCCTCTCCCCACCCAAACTGCAGCAGCTCCCATGTGCCTTTCCTCCTCTGCCCCAGACACAGAGGAGCAGTGTAGTTCAATTTAAATTCTGGCAGCTGCCCACCCATGTGACAGCTGCTGGAGGGAAGCGCAGGGACTGGTGGTGTGTGGCAGAGGGGATAACTGCCAGTTTATGCAGCACTGAGCTGATAGGCGATCATGGGGGGGTGAGGTGACAAAGTAGGGCAGCTGCATAGCCTCTCCCCAGAGCACTGGCAGGGGGAAGGGAGAAGCCACATGCCCCAGGAGCCACACAGCCCTTGCCAGGGCAGGTCCGAGTATGGGGGAGGCAACATGGCTCGAGGCAACATGGCTCACGGCTCCAGATCATGGGGAAGGAGGAGGCCATGTGGCTGAGGGTGGGGCTGTAGGATGCATTGACTCATGACGTGACTGTTGTCCTTCAGCAAAAACCTTTTTAAAGTATAGTAAGATTTCCACTATTTTAGCAAAGTAACCAATCCATCCTTATCTTTTTATCTCTTTAGCATGTTTTGAAACAGTTGTCTGATTTTAGACGGAAAAGTAAAATTCACCAGAAACATCATAACCTACCAAAGTAATCCATGGAGGCAGAGCAAGGTCTGTTGAGTGAATCCCAAGTCACTTGTTTTAATCATTGCTTTAGAGACCAAAGGGCCACTTTTCACTGATGTGTGCAACATGATTATGTTCACATTCCCCAAATGTATATAGTCTTGTGCATGCTGTGGAAACTAGGGATGTGTTAATTTTGTCAACTACTTGCATTTCTCCCTCCCTCCCCTCACTGTCTCTGTATCAGAGGCAGCAAGGAAGGGGACAGGAGCCTGTGCTGGGGGAGCTGGCTTAAAAACCAGTTCCCCTCAGCACAGGTTCTGCCTGTCTTCTCCCCCACCCCCGCTGCTGACTATACAGAGGCAGCATGGGAAGGGGGAAATGCGAATAGTTGACAAGATTAACCAATAAACCTAGGCTTATCGGTTAATTGTCTAGTCTACTACTTGTGGACATTCCTAGTTTCCACAGCTCACACAGGCCTACTATCAGAGGCAGCAGGGGGAGGCTGCTACGAGGTCCACGATTGGAGTAGGGTTTTTTTTAGACTGGCCCCCCCTGCCACTCAGCGCTGCTGCCTCTAATAGAGAGGTACCAGCATGAAGTGGCAGGGGGCTCCCCGGGAGTGGGTCAGGAATGCACTGGCTGCCTGCCCTGTCCCTAGGGCCTACAGACTAGTTGTGTAACCCATAACATTTTTATGCGGTTACATGACTATTCAAATAACTGATGTCCAACATCCCTAGTGGAAATAAAGGCCCAGCTGTTTTGCTAGGATAGCAGATCGGTAGTAGGACAGTCTCTGCCCTTACACTCTAATAAGATTTGAAAGGGCGAATCTAAGTTGAAACACGTCACCTGCCAAAGCAATTGGACTTGATCTCCAGCAGCTGACGGTGCCCGCAGAAGAGTTTCACTAACTGCTCGATTGCTCTCTGAGTTCTCGCTTCAAACAATGGGGCTTGTCGCCCTCCAGTCCTACAGCCGCTCGTGGCTGGAGCCAGCCCCGCTCTGTCCTTTCCGCCGGGGCCGGGACGCCCCTGCAGGGGCCTTGCGCTCGGTTGCGCAGGCGGTGTCGGGGGAGCGGAGGAAGAGGCTGCCATTGAGCGCCCGGGAGGCGGGTCTGTAACTGCCACGTACCTTGCCCCGTCACGTGCTGGGTGCGGATTCCAGGCAGGGCGGGCTCAAGTCGACGTCACGTGACGGGCGCTCGTTGGTCGGCGGTGGGCGGGGCCTGCGAGCAGCTGTGGCGGCGCCTACGCGAAGAGGAGCCCGCAGCGCTGCCTAGAGAGTCAAGAGCGAAGCCCCCAGCCCAGCCATGGCCTACGGCGGCCTCACGGTGCCCATCATCGTCATGAGCGTTTTCTGGGGGATCGTCGGCGGCGTCCTGCCCTGGTTTGTGCCTAAGGGGCCCAACCGAGGGTGAGTGACGGGCCCTCGGGAGAGAGGCGCAGCCTGGCCCGGAGAGGGTGCCCCCGTCCGCAGGGGGGGGGCTCCGAGCGGGGAGCGGGCCCGTTGCCCCTGCGCTGACTGGGGAGAGAGATGGGTGCGGGCTCAGAGGGGAAGAAGGCGCCCGAGCGAGGCAAAGCTACGCGGGTAACTGGGCAGTCGGTGGCCGCCGTGGGCCCCGCACCTGAGGAGCGGATCCGGCGCTTTCACTTGGGGCCTCGACCGCAGTTGCCCTGTTATCCCTCCCCCAGCTGCGACCCCCCCGTAGGGATCCTCCCTCTGTGCCTGCCGCGAGGGGCATCTTCGATAAAAATCTGCCAACGGGCCTTGCGCCGAGCCTGATCGCCCCTCTTACAACGCAGCCGCCCTCGGGAGAGGGGGATGGGCAGCAAGTGCCTGTCCGCGGGTGGGGGCCAGCCTGCATCTCCGTGACACAGACTGAAGTGGCCTCGTCCCACTTGCTCATCGTACTTCCCTTTTTAGTTCTGTCCGAATGCGTCTGACTGGTTCCTCCTCCCCAGTCGTGTGCTGGGGGAGGGGGTGCAGACTTCCATACCGCTTTGCTGTGACCATCTGCGAGGAGTGATCCCGAGTTCCCAAATGCTGCTGCTGTTGTAGTGTAGCTTTTGTTTAGCTTCTTTTAATGTCCCAAGAACCTTTCTCTCTGTACAGCCTGCTGGCTGGAATGTCTTCCCTGCTCACCAGGCCCAGATCATGTTGCTGCTGTTCTGTTTTTAAGTATTTAGGAAATGCTTGTAGAGTGAAAGGGTATATAACCCATCAGAGTCCCTAGGACAAACTTTTGTGGCCTCAGAATGCAGCCACCAACTCTTACTAGTGGCTATGCTCACGGTTTAAGAAAAAAGTATACAGTTAGCTTTAGGAAAACCCAATGAATGTGCACAGAGATACATGGCCAAATCATTGTAACTTATTTATTTCCAGCTAGTAAGTCTATTGTGAAAAGTGATATTTTTTTAAAAAAGCATAATTTTTCACAGCAGAATTACTCAACCCTGGCAAGCCTGGGGACAAATTAAGCTCCTGTAAAGCTGAAATACAGGGCCCTGGGATGGAGCCCAAAGCTTAGGACTGAACCCTGAAATCTCAGCCCCCACCACTCCTGTGAACATGGTGTGCCACAAGTGTCTCCAGAGTGGGTTGGTGGTAAGGATGTTAAATATTGACTATTTGATTAGTTGATAGGGTGCCTCCATCTTTGAAGTTACACTTCAAAGGTGAAAGCACCATGTGGAGCCCATGGTCAGCTGACCCCAGACTTCACTCAGACCTGCCACTTTGAAGAGCTGCGTGCAGCCTGACATCAGGCTCCCTGTGGCATTTCGAAGTGACAGCACTGCTCATAGCCCGGGGATCTAATTCCCCTGTGGAGCAGCCTGGGGACACCAGCGCTGCACGTGGTGTTTTAAAGTGGCAGCGCTGCCACTTTGAATAACCCCCTTCTTTCTTCCTCTTTGCTGCCTCTTTCTAATAGAGGCAGCAAAGGTGGGGGGGAAGTGACTAGTCAACAACTAGCCTGTCGACTATCCAATAAGCATTTGCTTATCGGATAGTCAGCTAGTCCTTCACATCCCTGGTTGGTGGTGGCCTCAGCAACTAACACCACGGCTGTGCCTCCAGAAGCAATGGGAGAAGGGGAGGGACAGGCTGCTACTTTGTCCTCTGCATCAATAGCCCACAATTCTGTGGCTGCAAGAAAAACCCTTATGAGAAACGCTGACCTAGATAAAAAGTCTGAGGGGTAGCTTTGTTAGTCTATAAATTTAAAAACGAGTAGTCCTGTAGCACCTTGGAGACTAACAAAAAAAAACAAAACAAAACTATCATGAGCTTTCATGGGCAAAACCTTGTTGGAAGAAATGGGTTTTGCCCATGAAAGCTCATGATAAAATATATGTTTTAGTCTCTAAGGTGCTACAGTACTGACCTAAATGGACATTCTCCATCTCTTAAATTTCATTTTAAAGTATTTGTCTTTTCCGTTATGCTGTATAACTTCTCAATGATTTGGTTGTTTTTCTGATTGGATAATTTATGCACTCAAAGAATACTACTATTTGAGAAGACAATGTTATGGATAGACCGTTCACCAGTTCGCGTCTTTCAAATGTTTTATATTGTATTTGAAAGATACTCAGTACATTCAGTTGTGCTGTGTTATTAATTGACTTTTGAGAAACATCAGCATTAATGTTCAAGTTACTATTTCTGAGCAAATCAATTCATTTTGTAGCCGGAGAAGCCAAAGTAAATTATTTAGATCTATATATTTCCAGTGCTGATTAGAATTATTATCTAGATTGAACTCTGTAAAAAAACTGAAAACCCACATATTCCTCTTTAAAACAGAAAACAAAAAATCCATGACACAGAATACCCATCTTCCATTGAGCTCTGTGGGCAGAATATATGACTCCTTCTTGGAAAACATTTTCCCATCCATATAGGGGTTTAAAATATTTATTGGGCCACAATTTTACCACTATAGCAAGCTGTTTTATTGTCGTCTTAATAATACTTACTCTCACAACAGTGTGTCCAAATTAAGAATTATTTAACTGCCTTTGTATGTTCATGTATAAATGTAACATAAACAATGCTTTAAGATTTGGTTCTGATTTACTGCAAAGGAAGCTTGTTACTTGAGATCTTCTCTTTGGAGCAGACTTTTTAGACAAGGTTGTATAGTCTTGTGCTTTTTATATAAATATTTATACCGCAAACAAAACTGGGGTGTTTTTATTTGCTAATGGCAAACTACATTTGTGAAGAATCCTAGGTTACAGAGGCACATTTATCTTCTAATTATAGTTGCATTACAAGAAATTAGATTGTCATCAGAGCATTCATATTTTGAGTCACCTTGCATGTGATCAAAGTCAAACACATTCTTAGGTTTATTTTCTAGGCCTATGACTCTTAATCAGTTCTCTCTTTTATTTCTTTCTGCAGTGTTATCAACACAATGCTGGTAACCTGTGCTGTCTGCTGTTACTTATTGTAAGTATAAATAATGACTCCCCTCCTAATAATGGCACTGCTGCTAAAATGAAAAAGGCCTCATGAGTGAATACATGTTTAGAGGAAATTTTCAAAGCACAAAGGGGTGTAAGAGAATATCTCCCTTAGAAAATCAGTGGAATTCTTGCTCCTAAACACATTTAGCAATCTTGAAAAAATTCCCCTGTTGGATAATATATTAAAGTAAATCTGGATTAATGTTATTCTCTAACATACGCCTAAAATCTTAGTATTTTGGTATTGATATATCTTGGCTATTGCTTTCTGTTTTATGGATTTGTGCATATTCAGCTCAGGTGGTCAGGGTTCCTTTGATTCCCATACGTAGAAACACCATGCACTGGGGTCACTGGTGTGAAGAGATCCATTACTTCTAGTTGCATCCAAAGCAGGACCTGTGAATCAATCCTGCTCCCTCCCTCTCACTGATTATCTTTTCTACACCTATATTTATACTGGACTTGGTCGTTCTAGTAATATCTACCAATCAACTGCATATTGTGTAAGATACCTATTATGCTAATATTTGGGGTACATCCAGGATGTTGCAAGACTAAGTGCTTAATTACAGTTCTATGGCTATCTGTGGAAATTTTCGCTAATCAAAAATGGGATGTACCAGTAACAGGTTGTTTCTGGTCTTCTAGGCCTGGTCTTGCTGTACTTTACAAGTTCTGCATGATAGTGCAAGCACTCCTGGCTCTCAAAACTCCCCACCTTGTCTGTGTGCTTACGTGCACCAGACTTGAGTCAGGCCTGGGTTTTCTTTGTTAGAAATCCACACTGTGGGCAAGATAGCCATCATTAGTCCGGTCAAGGCAGGGCTGGACAGTGCAGACATTGTTGTTCTGGTCAAAATGGGGTTGTCCACGCTCCCCTACACTCAGTTAACAAATAATTTGTATTGATTTCTAATAACTCACAGTAGGCACACACAAATAGTGACAGGTCAAGCATGCCTAAATTCTTTGAGGTGCAAGGGCCTTTGGCTTCCACTTAAACCAATACCTCCTTGTTTATGCTTTATTTCAGTGGTCCCCAACCTTTAGAGGCTCCTGGGCACCCGGGGGCGGGGCCACTCATGCGCCGGGCGCCCGGGGGCAGGGCCGCGCATCCGGGAGCACGCCAGGGGACTGGGATGCCCTTGCACCCGGTGCCGGCATGTGCCCTAGGGCCAGGGCTGGGGCCGGCCGAGTGCCTTGCGCCCGGGGCCGGCGCTGCCG